ATGAAGTTTCTCATGTTTATTGGTTACAACATGGTAATAAAAAAAATTCCCTGGAACTGCAATCAGGTCAATAGTGGAAAGGAACTCGTGCTGCCAGTCATGTTGGTTGTTGTAATTTTCATATTCAAACGTTCTTGCTTTATCACTGGGTTTATTTGTTTCTCATCTGTCTGGTACATACGAGGAGGTGGTGGTTCAGCACCTCAAAGCAGCTAACAGGGTTGTTCATCTTCATACCAGACATTAACTTGTACAATAAAGATAAAGCTTATCTTTACTGGCCACTATTTTGGTCTTGGCCCATGAGCTGCTCAGACAGTAAAAGTGATTGGTTATGAAAGTGTTTTTGAATTGAAACACAGAGCTGGAAACCATCGTGGGCTGTAGTGTCCCAAGGGCCTTCTACTGATAAATGGTTCACTGCCTCTTCCCTCTAACCATCATTAAAAATGTCAAATCATTAAAAGCTGCACTTCTTTATAATCACCACTCTCCTCACTGATGGGAGATGTCTCCTGGCCTCATCTTCCCTGTTTTGGAGAATGCTTAATTGCTTTCCCTAGTGTTTGTAAACTACATTTGAATTGTTCCTCAGTTGCCTCAAACCGATTGTCCTGTTAATTATTAGTAGATGATAAAAGACTGAAGCAGAGTTGCACTGGCAAGGCGACAGGTGCTCAACACTCATGCACCTAGTTAAAGATGCCAGTGCAGTCAGTGGTTAATGGTCTTGTACGAGATCAGTGTGTTCTTTAGAAAGTGAACATTTAAAAGAACAGAACTAGAACACAAAAGTGGTTACATCCCAGAGCAGGCACGCTCCGTTTTGCGTAACTTTTTAAATCCCTGTAGAACCAGAACCGCGTAAGCTAGCGCAATAATGTTTTTGCATATGAAACCGGAGGAGTTGTACTTACATCTTATGCCATTAGCTTGTCCTAGGTCACGGTTTCCTTCCACATATAGCTTTGCAAATATTGCATAAAAAGCGCTTGCAGGAACAAAAACATAATATTCCAGAAACATGCTTTGCCGATCCGATCAGCTGTTCGTAACACTTCCCACATTGAAACAGACATCAGCGTGAACGATCGCATGTCCGCCATTACCTGCCCGAAACCGGAAGTGAGGTCATTTTTGCGGAAAATGTAGTTTTTTGCTTGTAGGCCTTAAAAGCCTATACTGGTGTTTTTATAAGTCATGTTTGGCTTTATGCTTTTCTGAATAGTTTCTGGGATGCTTAGAACTCAAATTGCACTGCTTAAAATAGTTTATTTTGATGCACATGCTGTTTCTTTGCAAATTTGCATCATAGGATTGTTTTTCGTTTTTCCTGCAGTATCTAAAAATTGGTGTATCTCAAAAATAAAACTATGAAGACACTCAAAATAAATTTCCTGTTGTTGTAAACTTATTTTTGCTCACAAAAATGGCACTACAGCATGTAAAAATATAAAGTAACCTCTGGCAGCCTTGGTTCTATGGTAGGTCTTAAAGGGTTAAAAAATAGCCACAGTTTAGGCCAACGTGGTCCAAATCTGTTGAGTTATTTAAATAAAATCATAGGTATAGATGTTCTCGCAGGAGTTATTAGACAGTAAGGACACATTAGCTGTAAGTTACCTGGCTAATTGACAGCTAATAATTGCATGCCCATGATCTAGTAGAGAAAAAAATATACAAATAAATGTAAAAGCAGTTCCTTAATAATGGTTTTGAATGTGGCTAACTGTAGGTGTATTATACGATGTAAAAAAACAACAACCAAAAACCCAAAACAAACAAACACGTAATGCAGTTTTCAGGTTAATGGGTGCAGTTTCAGGGTCAGTCCATGACAAGAAGTTGGCACTTATTTGTAGTCAATTACAAGCACGAATGTAAGAACGGTAATAGGTCTAGACCCAAACCTGTATCAGCCAGCATATTTTAAGCCAGCCACAGAGTCCATGCTCACTAACTTTTTTTGACTGCACTTCTGCCTGTCCAACTTTATCACCATGAACCCCATGGTGGCTACAGGCATTCCTGTTAGCAGTGAGAGTGCAACTTCAGGGAAGCTCCCCAAGTGCTATTTAATATGTTGCAGCGTGGTTCAAATTATTTTGCTGCCAAACACTTCTAATCCTAAACTTGACCTCCAATCTGAAACCATTATTGACCACAGAATGATTCATCTTCTGTGAGGCATCCAAAACCCTGAGACCTGGAAAACCTTGACTCCAGATTGAAAAGTGTTTTTGATGGCGTTTTCAAGAAAAGTCTTTTGTGCCTCATTTCCAGTAACACCGATTTGAAAATATAAATGTGCATCATCTTAAACCTTCAGATAGGGCGGGCTGCTCCTTCACTGGTTATGCTATGGCGATGAATGCTTGTGTGTCACTGATATCACCTTGACTTGAGTTTCCACACCAGCTCGCTGCCTGTCACTGGAGCTGTGTGGAGGCAGAGTGGGAGGAAACAGGTGGCGACGAGTGAGGGGCATTGGAAAGCGGCTACTGTGTAAGCTCTGTGAGCCGTCCTGCTGTTTGGTCAGACTACACACTGTCGGGGCCCGGATCAGTTAGATGTGATTGCTTTTCTTGAGGGCTGACAGTTTAGAAGAGAGGCACCCTGTTGCCACCGTGCTAAATCTATAATTTTTTCCCCCTCTCCTATAAGTGCCGTTTAGCTGAAAAAGACGCAACGCTAGAGTTGCCATGGTAATATCATCCACAGTGCTGACAGTATTTTAGTTAATGTCTGAGAAATGATCATTCTTAAGTGTTTGCATCAATTCGTCTACAGTAAAGCAGTCACAAAGAATACATACAAAGGAAGATGTGTACTTGGGCAGGTTTCCTAATGAGCTCAGTAGCTTAGCAGACTTCATAGGAGGGGGTATCGCTCTTTTTCACATGTAATGCTTAAGAGGGCATCTGTAATTCATGCATGTGTATAATCAGTGAAAGGCTTGAATCTGGACTCAGATGACAGTAAGTGACAACATTTACATGCACAAGCTAAGACCTCTATAAGGAACTGCACATTTCTCATACAGTTGCTGTTTTTTTTTGTTTTTTAATAAACAAAAGCCCTCAAATACTTATTGGAAAGAATTACTGCTCTGTTCTAGCCGTGCTCATAAGGGTTGAGGAGCCAGCATATTGAGTACTTGACAAGTGGGATAAGATGAGATAAACCTTTTGTTAGTCCCACACGTGGGAAGTTTGTTTGTGTCACAGTAGAAAGTGAACAGTGCAAAGCTGCAGTGTGCATGACCATGGGGGGGAATGTTGTGCTGAAGCCACAGCAGTGCACCTCCCTGCCAGTCAGACAGCCTCCGAGCTGCACTGATTCAGTAATACAGCTCACATTCATGACATTTAGGAGTCTGTAAAAGTTAGAATTTATCTTGAAGAAATATTTAGGAAGTTTTCATTGGACATGGCCAAGGTTGTGCTTTGTCGCAGTTTTTTGTCGATACATTTTTACTGGGCAGAGAGTGTCAGGTTTCTGCTGGCTTAGTTGACCTCAAGCTTTAAATGGGGTGATTGGCAGGAGAGTGTGAAGTGAATGGGATGAGGATTGGTACCACAGAAACATCGTTGTCAGCAGGAAAAGGGTGCACTGACTGCTCTGATCTGCCTCGAGTGAAGGAGTTCAAGCACCTCTGGGTCTTGTTTATGAGTGGTGGAGAGTAGATGGATCTGCAGAGCACAGTGGATGTGTACTGGTCTATTGAGGCGAAGAGGGAGCCGAGTGTGTAAGTTCCTCCATTCACCCATGGCAACGAGGTGCGAGTAGTGACTGAAAAAGATCAAGGATACAAGCAGAAATGAGCTCCTTCCAAAGGTTGTCTCGGCTCACCCTTGACGATGGGGTGAGGATGTCAGTCATTTGAGAGGTGCTCATTGTAGAGCTGCTGCTCCTCTGTATTTAAAAGGATTTTCTGAGTAGGATGCGTCGAAGATGTTTTGAGCAATGAGGTAGGTGCAGGACGTGCTGGAGAATTTACAACTTCTATCCCCACTACCAAGATCTAATGTGTAAGACTGAAAAACTGAAAATGGTCTGATTTCAGTCTGTAGAATGAGAAGTCATCCCACTTTTGTTTTGTCGAATGTCATCAACAAAATATTTTTGTGCCTTTTTGTGGACAAACCATAAGCCATTTTATACACTGATTAAGTTGTGTACCTTCCCTGTTACTGTTGCTGTTTCTTCCCGGTGCCTAACAAAGGCACGGGCTCTATTATCTTCCTCATTAAACATTTGCCATTTCGAGCATCTCAGATTCTGCTTTGTTTACATCAGCGTCTAGCTTGCAGTCCTCCTCTTCAATGTCTTTGCTGGCGCATTGCTGCGTCTCTTGGCACATTCTGGCCCCTGTTGATCACTCAAATAGTGTGAAACCATTGGCAAGAATGCATATTACGTCACCCGTGTACACAGGCCCGCACATGGCATGCAAAACGCCAGAGACCCACTCATAAAGAAATGGCTCCATTGCACTGCCAGAGAACTGGTGTATCCACAGGATACTTTTAAAACACCATCCCCTTTTCTTTTTTTTTATGTTTGAAGACGGACAGTCTTAAAATTTGATGAACATTAAGATTGCACAGGCTCATAAATATTCATCAGACCAGAACCCCCCCTCCCCCTTTCCTCTTCCTTTCTTATCTCTTTGTCACCGTCCTCTTATTTCCGATCCCTTCATCTTGGCCTGAATTTGAGCTGGACCCAAACAAACGGCTTTTCTCTTGAGATCATCCAGCAGCACTTTAGTGATCTTTGAATGTATAATGCAAAACGCTGCCTGCCTGTTGCCTCTAATTGTCCTTTTGAGTGTTTAATGTTTGAGCTCATTAACATGATCTGCCATCTATTGTTTATCATATTAATAGCACCATTTCCTCGGCTACAGTAAAGGGACTGTTAATTAGTGGCCACAAAGGCAACATTTAGTTCTGTACATCGCACTAATCTAACGTTAACCTGTTTTATCTCATCAGGAAATAACAAAGACTTCACTGTGTGACCCTCACTCCCACCACCCCACACTGTTCCCTTTTGACCTGGCAGAGATGCATTTTTGTCAAGGAGTTTGCACTCAGATGGATTAAGAGGTTAGTTTCCAATCTCACATTCAACCCTAATCTTCCTTCATTAAAGGCTGCGTTTTGTCTATTCAAAGCAGGTCAAAGCCGTGCATTGTGTTTATTATTGGCAGCTAGGGGAAAAAGTCTTTCCTGTCAGCAAAGACTGAATACACGGTGACTCCATCGGCACAGGGAGCCTTTGTCATTATCAAACAAAGGCATATCACTTGCTAGAAAGTGGCTGATTGTTGCTGACGTGAAGACAGACATATTTCAGTGATCTTCGTCCCAAACCAGAGCCCAGCGGTGGAAACCTAATCAGCCTGGTTTGGACTTACCTGTAGGAACTGGAAAACTGAGCTGCGGTGGCTGCTGATAAATTTTTCAACAGCTCCTAACCCAAAAGCAGCTGATATGCACTACCGTCTCAGAATTTTGGTTAGGGTTACATTCTGTGGAAGGCTACGTCACCGGCTCAATTGTTGAGCACACTTGAGCGTGATGGAGGCGCACCGTATGAAGTTACAGAGGATTAGATTACTTGAAAGGTGTATCACAGATCTGGCCTATCTTTACAATATTCATATTAATTCTCTGTGAAGAACATCACACTTGCAAGGAAGTTACTGTCTAGATCAAGGAATAGTTAAGGTGGTTGGGAGATTTAGACTTGGTCATGACACTGAAACCAAAAGTTTGCGTTAACATATATTGCAGATTCCATTGGCCCACTTGCAGAGTCAAAATTCAGATTGTAGATTATAGATTGTAGCAGTATAGTGTGTGTGTGTGTGTGTGTGTGTGTGTGTGTGTGTGTACAGACACAAACAAAGACCTAGTTTGTCAAAGAGGGTTAGCTTTGGCTCCTGCTTCCAACACGTGGTTGCCATCAGATTCTTTTCCTGAGTAAACAGAGACTGGGAGATAGCAAACTGATAGTTGTCTTCGGCTGGTGGGTGCAGCTCTGTGTGACGGGCAGGAAAACATTTGGACAAATGGGCCTATTATTGACCACTCCACTATCTTGGCCAACAGGAATCTTTGATCTGTATCTTATAAAGTCCTCCATCTCTTCCTTTGAGGAAGAAAGGCAATAGATTTGGGGGGAAAAAAATTGTAATGCTGATTTGGATCCATAAACACCAGTGTACTTTTTGTTTTGTTTGTTTTGTTTTGCTTATCCACTTCCCCTTTGCTCATTTATTTCCACTTATTCATTAACCTCACTCTTATTTCAGTTTCACTGCAGTTTCCCCCAATCCGTGTGTCTGCCCCTGTCAGTTCATTATGTTTGTAATTGATTGATGTGTTCACTCCTTCCATAATAATTTGCACCCTTAAATCAAAATGGGATGTTGACAGAGTTGTGGCCCACCCTCGTTGGTGTCTACATGAACCATCAACCTCTTGCTGCACTCTTATGCATATACAAGGACGTGCTATAACAAGGTAGTTCCACGGCAAGCACTGGCAGCCTTAAGTGTGGATGTTGTTGAATATGTTATGAATGTGGTGAGTGTGCAATTTTTTTTTCTTTTCTTCTTTTTTTTTTGTGGTATTGTGTTAATGTATGCAGAATTCAGCAGCAGACTAAAAGCAGGCAGTGAGGAATGCCTGTTGGGAAGGGGGGGATAAGTGAGAGGAGGGCTTTCTTGTCTCTCAGGGGAGAAAGATGAGAGGAAGAGAGGCATGGTGAAGAGGTAGAGAGCGGGGGATGGTGTCAGAACCTAGCAGAGGAGAGAAGGTGAGGAAAGAGCCAGCTTAACGTAAATAGACATGGTAAATATCTAAACACCGCATTGAATTGTAGGTTTGACATATAGGCTTGAACTCTTATAAAACCACATCATAAAAGGCTGGGAAAAACGCTGTTTGTGCTGACTTTAAGGGCAGGTGTTATACTGATTTCCAGTCGCATATTTAAATTTTTGAACTCTGCAAGTGAATGGTCATTATTTATCTACTGGGAACCGTCACTTCATCTACTGTCTGAATTGTTTCTACTACCTTTAAGCCAACTTTCTTCTGATTGGCTTCAGCTCCAAAAACAGAAGGTTTGAATAGCAGGTGGGTGGCGCTTCTGCACTCAGTTACAGGTATCTGCTCTTATAGATACAAAGGAGAAGTTTGGTAAAAACATTTAAAACACTTTCAACCTCACCTGACAGTCAGCACATGCCTCCAGTACTTTGTATTTGATGATTTCTTCAGTACTTGTTGCAACATGACCCTGAAATCTGTATTTTTATGTAGTCACGGGACGTTTTGACTGTTCTCATCATGATGAAAAGCAAATGTCTGAGATGCGTAAGCCCCAGGTTCTAAAGTAAATGTTAGTATTGGCATTCGGTATTGTGCAGTAGTGTTAGTGGGATGTTAGTGTGAATGTACTATGTATCGAACTGAGGTGACAATACACGGTTAAGTTGTAAAATATAGCGAATTTAAAAAAAAAAAAAAAAAAAGACTCCACATGGAGACGACAGTTGAAATGTGAGTTGTTGAGATTTCAGCAATCACTTTCTCTGAGCTTTCACACAGTCTGCTTGATGTTAGTAGTTGCTGTTGTTGTCGTCAGTTGAATCGAACTCGCTGCTGGATTCCTGGAAGTCACTCCTGGGCGCTTGATCTAGTAGATGCTGCGGTGTGTATGTTGTATCTTGAAATATTATCTAGTGTGTACAAGTTTTTATAGTCTAACATTCACAACTTTATTGTCTAGACACGAGTGCAATATTTCAATAAAATGTCTAAACAAAAGCTCGGCAGCAATTCTGTCCTGATTCAGCTGCACAGCAGTCAGCAAGCTGAATCCAGTGGAAATGAACTGGTAATCAGCAAATGAAGGATCACGGTGTGTATGTGCGCGCCCACATTTCTTTCCGCCATCCTTTCTTCTACTTGGAGCACAGTAAGTGCATCTGTGGTAGAGTGGGTGTTTTTGTTTTTGGTTGTGTGTGTGGTTTTTCTTTTCTTTTAAACTGCTCAGGAAAGACGTTGAGCGTGCTCCACACTAAGCCCCACACTTCCCCCTCCCTCTCTGTGTCTTCCCTCCTCCCTCAAGCAGCTGTTTTCCTGTCTTGGCCTGGGAACTGGAGCCAAGCTGTTTTTTCCCTATCCTTGCCTCACAAGCAGGAACTCGCAGACTTACCGAAATACGCACACATACTCTTCTTGTCTGTCTCTGCCCTGTCCCACACTCGTCTGGCTGTTGACTGTGTGCTGACCTCATTTTGGACTAGAGACTGAGGAGCAGCTATTCCCACTCTTCTGCTTGGCTGCTGTGATTGCGTGTTCACATTGCAGTGTGAGAGCCGCCTGACTGTTGGTAGAAATGCTTTCATGGTAAGACGTCTCTTCCTGTAATCACAGGCTACTTCTGTCTTTTGACCTCTTATTTGTGCCTCTTTCAGTCTCTGACTGAAGTGACTCTCTGTTGGTAAGGCTGCTGTGTGGCTCATCCAGTACTCAGTTTCTAAAAGTCTTCTTGACTGTGCTGCAGTGATTTCAGGCTGTCAGCATTTTGCAAAAGTTTCAGTCAATAAAATAAAACGGTGAAGTTCTAGCATGACTTAAACTCACTTTTTTAAGTTTGTCCGTATAAAAATAAAACGGTCGTATTCCCTTTTTCATTGACTGACACAAGGAGGTGTAGCTAGGCCTCACCGCTGATAATTCAAGTCACTAAAGTGGACCCTGCGACTGTTATACTACACAATATTATAACATATTGTTATAATATTGTGTTATTGTTTCCTATTGGAGCATTTTTAAGCCTCCACGGAGTTGGTGCTTCAGTTTTAGTTTCCGAGAGTGTTATTTGGCACCAATTAGCATTTATCTTTATGTGTTCATGAATGACTTCACCTGCAAATGCCCCCTGTATTGTGAAGCCTCAGTGCTGATGCTATAACTGGTTCTATATTGGTATTTGAAGCCACGAGGAACTGTTTTGGATGAGAGGCTGCCCAGAACTGTTTGAATGATCCTTACATCACAGCAAGCCAAGATCATTGTCTGTTAGGTGGGTCTAGCAGGCGGTGATCTGCCACTAACACTTTGGCAGAGGATTGAGTAAAGGAATGTTAAACCAAGATAATAACTGAATACATTTGTAACAACAGGACTGAGGTTTGTTAAGAATGTAAGTTTTAAAAAAAGCAAAATATTTAAGCTGTCCCATTCTTAGATTAATCATTCTCATAAGGACTGGGTGGCTGTACTTAACTCTGTCAGTTACACTTTCATCCAAATGTTATTTGTACAACAGTAGCAATACTTGTCGAGTACCAGTGAACCAAATATTGAAAATATTTAAATACAGGGCACTGACTGATGCTCTTGCCATGTCATCTGTCATGTCCTACTGTAACCAAACACATTGTTTGAAATCATTTCAAACATTAGAAGAAACTCTCAGACTGTGTGCCTTTTTTTTTTTTTTTTTTTTGTGTCTAGCCCCCGACATGTCGTCTTGCATCATCTACCTGTATCACAGCAACAAACGAGCACCAGCCTTTCATGGTCCAAAAATCCTCGAGGAGGCGATTGTAAAGAATGTTTCATGTTGTGGCCATGTGGGTAAGGGGGGTAGGTGTGGTTATGTGTGGGTGACTTATTTAGTCTTCAGCAATAGTCTTAAAAGGACATTCAAAGCTCTTCTTTGGATGTTGGCTGCTTTTTGTTCCGTTTTATCTCACTGATGCCACACTGCTTTATTTATGCTGCAGTCTGGGCTCTGAGGAGGCCAATCCATGACTGATGGTGTTCCACTGTGTGCTTTTCTATCACTGCATTGGGAATGTGTTTGGGATGATTGTCATGGTGAAAAATAAAGCCATATCAATCAAATGCTTTCCAGACAGTGTTGCACAGTGGATGAGAATCTGACGATACTTGTCTGTGTTCATAGTTCCATCAATTTTGACTCGACCCCAACACCAGTGGCTAAAATGCAGTCTCAAGCCTTGATGGAGACTAAACTGTGTTTTACAGATGGCTCGTACCTCTCTCCTGACCTCCTCCGT